CCGCACGCGCGTCCAAGCAAGCCGGGCAACGGCATCTCGAAGTGCCCCGAGAATGCAAGCGGGGTGGAAGGAAAGGCGAGGGCCGGCCGCAGAGGGGAGAGAGAGAGAGAGAAAGAGCAGGGGCGGCGCACTCACGCGGCGAGGCCGCAGCGGGGCGCGGGGGGCGGCCGAGCCGGTGTTGGTGAACACGTGCGTGCCCCTGACGACAAGTGCTGGCGGCGCGCAAAAGGGGGCAGGGGGTAGGGGGGAAGGCTTCTTAAAGCACCCTGCTTCTTAGAAGGCCTCGGCCTTACGTCTATAGAGAAGGCCCGCGCCTTCTAAGAAGCAGGGGTGTTTCTAAGAAGCCTTCCCCCCTCCCCCTACCCCCCTCTGCGCGTTGCCGAAAGTGGGTCAGTGCGCGAGCGCATATCTCACGGTAGTACGAGAGAGCTCTCGCACGTGGCAGGCAGGGGGCGGCCCAGCCACCCTGCGGCGGGGAGCACGCGCTCCCCACAACCTCGGGACTGCGAGACTGCGGCCGCGGCCATCATGCTGCTTGGGAGGGCGATTCCCATCAGGCCCAAGTGGCATGCCGGCTACATCTCCGTCAACACTCGGCTACCTGCAAGGGCGACCCTGGGCAAGAGTGACCTTTAGTGCGTTCACCCGGCCGCTGCTATCGCATCTCGTTCACCCGTCGGGGAGTACCCGTGGGCCCGCACCAGAGGTCACTCTGGCGAAGGATCACTCTTGTGTGCAGTCGCCACATGGGGCTCCGTGAAGAGATTCGGCCCCCTGCAGGGGCGCGCGAGCGAAGGGGGCGGCGCTGCCCCCGCTAGAGGACCAAAAAACAGCATAAACAGACTCTCCGCTGGAGTGAAAACTTTCGGAGCTTCGAGAGGAGTTCTTGGATCCACGCTGAAACCCCCTCCCTGGCGCGCGGAGCGCGCTAGGAGCGGCGCCTCAGGCGCCGCCAAGGGGCCCAGAGCAGATCCGAGAAATCCACGCGGAACTCCGCAAATGTATGGTTACATTACGCCCTCTCCTCTTCAAGAGAGAGCAGAGAGACCACCCCCGTGAGAAACACCCCTACAAGCAAAGCCGCTCAGCGAACGCATCCAGGGAAGGAATCGAACAGGGCAGGGCTGCTCAGTAAACGCCCAGGGCAGTTTAGTAAACGCGAACTACGGCCGGACCGAGGACAGGAGAACACCCTTCAAGAACACGAGACCCTCCGCCGGCCAAACCGAAGAGCAGTCGAGGGTGCCCTCTCCCAGGATGCACAAGAGCATCCAACATACGCGAAGAACATCAGGGGGGGCCCTCCCCGAACCGACATCGCTTTTGTACATCGGTCTGGCCGTAGCCCCACTTTGGGCGAAGGCCCTTCCTCTGCGCGAGTCCCAGATCCTCGAGCAGGCGCAAAGTGGAGCGGGAGCCACGCACGACGCCGCCACGAGGGGGGAAGGGAGGGGGAGGGGAAGGAGAAGGAGGAGGAGGAGGAGAAGGACGAGGAGTGGGAGAAGGAGGAGGAGGAGGAGGAGGAGGACGACGAGGAAGAGAAGGAGGAGGAGGAGGCGGAGAAGGAGGAGGCTATTCCTCCCCTGCTTCAGCTCGAGCTCCCGAGGCGGCCGCTGTGCGCCGACGTGCCCACGCTCCCCTCGAGCGCGGCCTCTCGGCGGCACGCGGCGCCAGGGGGGGCAGGGGCCGGGGCGCACGGGCCGGTGCGCGGGGGGAGGAGCGGGGCACCAGCGAGGAGACTCCTCCTCGTCGTCGCCGTCGCCTTCCTACTCCTCCTCGAGCGTACACGAGAGCGGCAGTCCTCGGTCATGCCCACGACGCAGTGGCCGACAATCGCTCGACCTGAAATCGAACCATCGTCTTCCTACTCCTCCTCGTTCGTTCGTTCACTCGTTCCGTCAGGCCTGTCTGGCCGATGCAAGGCTGGCACTGCAACGGAGCCCCAGAGCTCTAGGCACCCGTGGGCGTCGTCCGCGATGCACGGCAGCCCGGGCACGCCCAATGTGCCCCATCACGTGATACATGTAGATTTCAGTTCTGGAGTGCAAAATTCCACAGAGATAGGACAGCTGTCAGAAACAATCATCCTCGTCCTCGTCCTCATCCTCCTCCTCCTCCTCCTCTTCCTCCTCCTCCTACTCCTCCTCCTCTTGATTCCTCGGCCTCTTCCTCCTCCTCCTCCTCCTCCTCCTCCTCCTCCTACTCCTCCTCCTCCTCCTCCTCCTCCTCCTCCTCCTCTTCCATTCCTTTTCCTTATAGATAACTCTTCCCTGTTTCACCCCGAGGTCAGTCGAACGGGCGGGCCAGGCGTTTCGCCTGAGACTTCCTCACCATTTATGGCCCTGATGCTTAAAAATTGGCAACAGTTTCACAGATGGAGGGCGGGTCGTTTTCAAAATGTGGTTCTATCATCAGCGCCGCGCACATTCGTTGTAAACATGTGCAAGAGCTTCATGGATGGAGGGTGGGTCGTGGTCAAAATGTGGCTCTCGCCTTAAGCCGCGCACATTCTGTGTTAGAAAATCCTAGATCTTCACGGATTGAGGGCGAGTGGTTTTCAAAATGTGGCTCTCGCCTTAGCGCCACGCACATTCGTTTGAAAAGTTTACAAGAGTTTCACGGATTGATGGCGGGTCGTTCTCGAAATGTGGCTCTCGCCTTGGCGCCTTTCACATTCTCACCCCTTTTCGGGCTTCTGTGAGCTCAATACGGCCCAAGAAGCCTCCAAGATGGCCCCACGACGGCCCCACGAGGGCCTCAAGAGAGCAACAAGGCGGCCCAAGGCAGTTCCCAAGATGGCCTGAAAAGGACACTGAGCAACCAAGGACGGCCCGAAGAGGGCCACAGGGTGACCCGCGAGGGCACTCGGAGGAACCTAAGACGGCTTAAGAGGACCCTCGGCCCAAGCGGGGCCTTTACATCCTCTCAACGTGGATGAACCACGACGGTTTCTCCCAGGGGTGGAAGGAAGAAGACGCGGGCAGCCGATGGCCAACGTTCCACCTAATTCTTCGCGGTGCAGTGCCGAGGCGCGGGCATGAGCGTGCACACTGCGAGCCAGAGGCAGATCACGCATGCCGGAATGTACCACGCCGAAGCGCCGAGCTGAAGATCACGCCGGGGGCTTGAGGCGATCCTCGGCCTCCAGTGGGGCCGGCCTTAAGGCCAGGCCCCGAGGCCGCAAAAAAACGGCCCCGCAAGGAGGGGGGGAGGAGGAGAAGGAGGAGGAGGAGGAGGAGGAGGAGGAGGAGGAGGAGGAGGAGCCCACGCCTCATAGGAGGAGGAGGAGGAGGAGGAGGAGGAGGAGGAGGAGGAGGAGGAGGAGGAGGAGGGGGGGGAAAGATTCTTGCTCATCACAAGCGCCCCACCTGCAGCTGACACCCATGCGTTACTCGAAGATATACTCGCCAACGTCCGCCGACACGCCACTGCCCACGAGTGCACATAAACGGTATAGCGATCGATCGCCAAGGTCATACATTTCACGGTGGTCAGGAAAGGGTGGCGCACTGGACCTCACGAGGATCCACCACCTACGCCACCTGACTTGATTTCTCCTCGCGGCAGGGCTGGTCTGGGGCGGGGTGGAATGGAAGCAGCGGCGGGCCTGCGGGTGACGTTGTAGGCGTTCCGCCGCGGGAGCGATAGAATGAAGGAGGCGATGGAGGGGAGAGAGGAGAAGGGGCCATCTGGACCCGGGGCGGGAGGGCGTCTCCCTGGCGGCTTGGCAGCCGAGCGCGAGATCACGCCTTGTTAACTGACAGAAGCGCAGCCAGCCCGAGAATCGGTTGATGCACCAGAGATTCCACCTCTCCGGTCGATCGTGCAGCCGAGATTCTGACAGACCTTCTGTCGGCGGAACCTGCGACCGATATTGTGGCAGCTGCTGTTGCCTTCGTACTTCCCGAATCAACTTGGTTGCAAGGGCTTCGGATTGTGAGAAGGACCCGGAAAGCGCTTGCCGGCCCCGGACTCGGTGACTTCATGGTCTCCCGTATGGCCTCCCACGTGGCCTCCCGTATGGTTTCCTGCATGGTCTCCTGTATGGTCCATTTCCTGTAGAGGGCAGAACATCCGCCCCGATAAGAACCACCCCGACACGCGAGGCACGTGGCACACGCGCCCAGAGAAGGAATGGAACAGGGCAGGGCCGCTTGCGTCAACGCCGAGGGCCGCCTCCGTAAACGCCCATGGTCGGGTCCAGGTGGCTGCTCCTCTCTCGACTCTGGCCCCCGCGTGTGGCCTCCCGCGCGGTTCTCCGCGCGGGCCTCCGCATGGTCCCCCGCACGGTCTCCGTAATTAGGCTCTCCCGTGCGGTCCCCGCACGGTCTCCCGCGCGGTCTGGCGCACGGCCTCCGGCCGCGGCCTCCCGCGCGGCCCCCCAGCGTGGCCTCCCGCACGCTCTGCCGTGAGGCCTCCCGCACGGTCGCCCCGCGTGCTCTCCCGAGCGGCTTGCCGCAGGGCCCCGCAGACCCGGGCACGCTAGACCCGGACACCCAACACCCCTCGAAGCCAAGTTTTCTCTCCAAACGGCGGCACGAGCAAAATACTGCACTGCAGCATTTCCAGAATAAACCCGGACACAGGCCTCAAAAGACTGCAAGACCCCCCTCAACCCGGACACAAACCCGAATCCTGCAGCGCAGCAAACAAAACATGCACGGGTGCTGAAAAACGTGACCTTGCAGGAAAGGATGTCGTTTCATTGGTTTTCCGTGTCCTGGTTTATCTGTGTCCTGGTCTCCGGGGGCCTGATTGCCGCACGTGCAGTACACGCTGGAAGGCCCACTCCCTCTCTCTCTCTCTCTCTCTCTCTCTCTCTCCCCAGACATGACCGCGTCGTAAAAAAAATCAAGACGGAAGGTTTTTCGTTATTTTCGACCCCTAGAGGCCCTCGCCAGGCCCCAGGACCGCCAGAAAACGACTCGGGATGCAAAACCGCTCCCGGGGAAAGGGTCGGGACTTCCAGGGACGCCGCCCTGAAAAAATCAGGACGTCGCATATCTGGATATCTCTCTCTCTCTCTCTTTGCGAGCTGTTCCTCCTTCCTTTTGCCGTGCAAGGCCTTCTGCCGCCGAGGTGCGATCGGTGAACTCGTTGTCTCACGGGCTGCCTGCCAAAGTGTCTGACGGCTGCGCCAATCTCCTGGCCGATTCTCTCACGGCATGCCCGACCGACTTGACAGAAATCCTCACTGGAATCCCGACGGCAATGCGCCATGCTGGCTCTGCTGCTCCCCCCCCCTGGCCGACCAGGCGCCTTCTGCAAGCCGAACGGCACCCCTGACACGGTCGGGCAGGTGAAGCACGCCGGCTTCGCCGACAGCCTGAGGCGGCCCCGACCAGGGACCCCACGCTACCCATGGGGTGGAGAGGAGGGCAAGAAGGGAGGAGGAAGGAGGGCAGGAAGGGGAACGGGGAAAATGGAAAGCGAAGGGGAGGGGAGGGGAGGGGGGGAGGGGGGGGAGGGGGAGGGGGGGGGAGGGGGAGGGGGAGGCGCGCCATGTCTGACGTCCTATCCTTCCCACACATGCCGCCCCAGTGCGCCAGTCCTGCCCCTATCCCCGCCGACGGGTGTCCCAGTGGACCTGGACCCCCACGGAGACTCCACCCCGAGGTGCGCAATCCTTGCCACCGCTCGGGCGCCGATTCCCAGTGCCTGTTTCGGCTTCGTGTACGTTTTGATGGGGATCGATGATCCAGGATGCTCCTCGATGGCCCTCGCCGAGAGAAAGTGCACACGTCCGAGCGATGCCAAGAATCATAAGGGGGAGCGGTGTGCATGTTCACCCCAATTCGCACCGCGGCGGCAGGGTCCAGAGCACTGCGCAGCTGCGCGCGCCGCTCTGGCGTTGCCCCCGCGCGCGGCCCACTGCTGTCGCAGCCGCCGCTGCGACTCCAGAGGAGGAGGCCACGGGACTGGCCCCGTCTCGGGAGGGGTCTTGGTGCCATCTTTGGGCTCACCTTGGCTCGTAGGGGCCGCCCTGGGCACCCTCGTGGGCCACCCTGAGGGCGTCTTGAGCCGCCCTGGAGGGACAGTGGGGGCATCCTGGGCCACCCTGGCCGTCTTCGAGCCCCTCGTGGGAACGGCGATGGGCCCTTCACCCCAAGTCGTGGGCCGGCACGTGCGCCCCCGCCGGCTGGCGGCGCCCTGGCCCTGGACCGGCGCGGAGGACGAGGAGGGGAGGGGGGCGGCAACGACGACAAGAGGAACCGGACCCAGCAGAAGTGCGGCCCGCCCTGCGGCGAGGGGCGCCTCTTCTGAACGACAGGAGCAGGGCGCGGGTTCTTGGAGTGCGGCCAGCGCTGCGCCGGGTGCACCGTGCTTTGAAAAACAGAGAGCGCTCTGGCCCGACAGAACACGTCGAAAGCAAGCCCGTGACAACCCTGAATTAAAGAGTACCTGATATCCGCCACCGTGCCTGCCGCACGCTGGGGCATGGAAGAATGCCAAAAAGTGCCTGGCAGGGTTTCTGTAGTCTTCTACGGGTCCCCGCCGCCCCCCAGTCACACTTCCCGGACTGCATCGCTCGTCCCTGGGCGGCCATAGCGCCTCCCTGGGGCTCTCCAAGGCCCCCAAGACGGCCCAGAAGGCCCCCAAGACGGCCCAGAAGGCCCCCAAGACGGCCCAAGAGGGCCCCGAGTCGCCGAACGATCGCCCAAGACGGACTCAAGATGGCTCAAAAGGCCCCCAAGACGCCCCAAGAGGCCCCCCCCAAGAAGCAAAAAGCATTGATTGCCAACAAGTTGTGAAGGATTTGGCTTTCCCGCCGTTTCGGTTTTCTGGCGCTCCACGACGGCACACGAGGCCTCCAAGAGGGCCCCAAGACACCCCGAGACGGCCCAAGAGGCGCCCAAAACGGCCCAAGAGGGCCCTGACACGGCCCAAAAAGGGGCCCAAGAGAGGGACTACACAACCGAAAATCCTGGCCTTCCGCCCCAACAGGCCCCCAGGAGGCCCCAGGAGGCGCGCAAGAGGCCCCCAAACGCCCCCAAGAGACCCCCAAGAGGCCCCCCAGAGGCCCCAAAAGAGAACCCAAAAGGCATCAAAGCGGCTCCCAAGATGCCTCAAAACTGCGTCCAAGAAGCCCCCGAGGGGCCATCCACGAGATCCCAACGAACGCCCAACAGGCTTCACACCCACAACCCAGGCACGGTGGCGAGATTTGCCGTAGGCAGCTTGATCCGCCGCCCCCTGCTTGCAGGGGTGCACGGCGTGCTGGATGTTTCAGGTTTTGGTTTTGGTTATTTTTCCCAACCCTCCTTGGTTGGGCATTCGTTTTGAATAGAGCAGTGTGGTCGCGTCCTTCCTCCTCCCGCCTCCCGCCTCTTTCCTGCCTCTTTCTGTCTTGCCTGCGGGGGGCTGTGAAACTGTCGCCGGTTTCGAGGCCTGCTGGGGGGTCCAGCATAGAGGGTAATCGCGGCAGATCCAAATTAGACCTCGCCATTCCTGGGGGGCTGCGATCTGTGAAACTGTCGCCACTTTCGAGGCCTGCTGGGGGGCTCAGCATAGAGGGTAATCGCGGCAGATTCAAATTAGACCTCGCCATCCCTGGGGGGGGGGGGCTGCGATCTGTGAAACTGTCGCCACTTTCGAGGCCTGCTGGGGGGTCCAGCATAGAGGGTAATCGCGGCAGATCCAAATTAGACCTCGCCCTCCCTGGGGGGCTGCGATCTGTGAAACTGTCGCCACTTTCGAGGCCTGCTGGGGGGCCCAGCACAGTGAGGGCCACGCGCGGATTCAAATTAGACCTCGCCATCCCTGGGGGGCTGCGATCTGCGAAACTGCCGCCATTTTCGAGGCCTGCTGGGGGGCCCAGCACAGTGAGGGCCACGGGCAGATTCAAATGAGACCTCGCCATCCCTGCGGGGCTGCGATCTGTGAACCTGTCGCCACTTTCGAGGCCTGCTGTGATCCCCGTTTTCGAAGTGGCTAGGAGTGCTCAGGAATTGTAAATCATCAGCTTTATCAAGCCCTTTTCCTGTAGCCAGTGTCCTGCGAGTCTCCCGAATTCCGTCTGCAGACATATGTAACCCTCGCTCCGTCATCGCCCCCTTATAAAGTATCCTAAACTATTTGCGCCCCGCTTTTGCGCAGGGGTTGGGTACGTCGCCAGGGTATGTTTTTCCCAACCCTCCTTGGTTGGGTCTTCGTTTTGAATAGAGCAGTGTGGTCGCGTCCTTCCTCCTCCCGCCTCCCGCCTCTTTCCTGCCTCTTTCTGTCTTGCCTGCGGGGGGCTGTGAAACTGTCGCCAGTTTCGAGGCCTGCTGGGGGGTCCAGCATAGAGGGTAATCGCGGCAGATCCAAATTAGACCTCGCCATTCCTGGGGGGCTGCGATCTGTGAAACTGTCGCCACTTTCGAGGCCTGCTGGGGGGCTCAGCATAGAGGGTAATCGCGGCAGATTCAAATTAGACCTCGCCATCCCTGGGGGGGGGGGGGCTGCGATCTGTGAAACTGTCGCCACTTTCGAGGCCTGCTGGGGGGTCCAGCATAGAGGGTAATCGCGGCAGATCCAAATTAGACCTCGCCCTCCCTGGGGGGCTGCGATCTGTGAAACTGTCGCCACTTTCGAGGCCTGCTGGGGGGCCCAGCACAGTGAGGGCCACGCGCGGATTCAAATTAGACCTCGCCATCCCTGGGGGGCTGCGATCTGCGAAACTGCCGCCATTTTCGAGGCCTGCTGGGGGGCCCAGCACAGTGAGGGCCACGGGCAGATTCAAATGAGACCTCGCCGTCCCTGCGGGGCTGCGATCTGTGAACCTGTCGCCACTTTCGAGGCCTGCTGTGATCCCCGTTTTCGAAGTGGCTAGGAGTGCTCAGGAATTGTAAATCATCAGCTTTATCAAGCCCTTTTCCTGTAGCCAGTGTCCTGCGAGTCTCCCGAATTCCGTCTGCAGACATATGTAACCCTCGCTCCGTCATCGCCCCCTTATAAAGTATCCTAAACTATTTGCGCCCCGCTTTTGCGCAGGGGTTGGGTACGTCGCCAGTTTTTTGTTTCCAAAAGAACTCCCCAGTGGGCTCCGGCAGAACCCGCCGGCCACCCGGAAGGTGCTCAACGACCGGAAAAAATCCTCCAAAAAACGGCCGTTTCGCTCGGGACATCCTCAAAAAATCGCGAAGATGGCCCAAGATGGCCTCCAAGTCCGCCCGAGATGGTCCAAGACGGCCTCCAAAACGGCCCAAGAGAGTCCAAGACGGCCCAAGACGGCCCAAGAGGCCCCCCAGAGGCCTCCCAGACGGCCCAAGAGGCCTCCAAGAGGTCCTCCAGGAGAGTCCGAAGAGGCCAAAATCATTGATTTTTCCTTGGTTTTTGAAGGATTCTGGCATTTGCGCCTTTTCGGCTCTCCGACGGCTCGAGACGGCCCAAGAAGCCCCCAAGATCGCCCAAGAGGCCCCCAAGAGAGCCCCATGATGGCCCAAGTGGCCTCCAAGATGGCCCCTAGAGGGCCCCAAGAGGGCCCAAGAGGCCTCCAACACGCCCAAGATGGCCTCCCAGACGCCCAAGATGGCCTCCAAGACGGCCCTGGAGCATTCCAAGCGGGCCCCAAGTCGGCCCATAGAGGCCCCCCAAACGGCTTCCGACGGCTTCAGACGTGCCAGGAACCCACCAAGATGGCCGAAGTTGGCTCGAAGCTGGCCCGAGACGGCCCAAAAAGCCCCAAAGATCGCCCAAAGCTTGCCCAAGAGGCCTCCAAGACGGCCAAGATGACCTTCAAGATGCCCACGTGTTCCCCGAAGGCTTTCCAAACCGATTCGGGGAACACGTGGTCCGATAGCTTGGCAGGTCTGGCCTCAACGTTCGGCCACATAGGCGCTTCCAAAAAGGCAGGGGGCGGCGGTGATTCGCCGTAGGCGTCTTCGATAAGTTTCCCCCCCCCCCCAAAAAAAACAACTGAGAGAGGAGAAGAACGCTCATATCGAGCGATTGCAAAGGGATGGGAGGGGGAAGGGAAGGGATCCCAAAACGGTCAGTGATGTCGCACACACCATAACCATGCGCAGTTGTTGAGGCGTGCTGGCGGGCCTCTGCTGCCTTCAGGGTGTCTTTGCGCGGCGGGCACTGCCGCGCCGTCCCCCTTCTGTTTTATCATGTTGTTTTTCAGTTTCTTTCTCCTCCGCCTCCTCCGCTTCATATTCCTCCTCATTATCCTTCTCCTCCTCCTCCTCCCCCTCTTCCTCCTCCTCCTCCTCCTCCTCCTCCTCCTCCTCCTCCTCATCATCATCATCATCATCATCATCATCATCATCATCATCATCATCAGCATCATGATCATCACCATCATCATCATCAGCATCATCGTCATCATCATCATCATCATCAGCATCATCATCATCCACCACCACCCGGGTGTACCTGCTCAACCTGGGTTTCCTGATCATGCCGCGAGTGTGTCAGAATTGGAAAGAAGGGAGCCTGACTCCGAAAACCGGCAAGTGTCGTTCGCAACTGCCTTGGGTGACCTGCGGAAGCAGCGCGCGGTACACAGCAGCTTGATCGGGCAGCGACACACAAGACCGACTTCCCCAACACACGCAACCACACACACACACACACACACACACACACACACACGCGCGCGAGCACACACACACGCACACACACCGATGTGTAACTCAGCGGCGAAGAGTGTCCTCAAACGTCGGCAGCAGATGAGCGTGCTAATTGTGATCGGGCACTGTCGAAGGCGCAGCGCACAAAGCGTCACACACTGCAACATGCAAGTGATGGGTGTGTTAGAGAAACCGCAAGTCCAAACGAAACATGCAACGGACACAAAACGAGGATAATACTCAACACAAAATGAAATGAAGCGCAACGGCCAGGGGCTAATTTTAGCCAATGAATCACCAGAGCGGCGTTAGACAGTGATGCGCACGGTAACAAATGTTGCGAGGCAGATTGGTGATGTGGCCGACCCAGCGGTCCAGCGAGGCAGATTGGTAAGATGTTGACCTACAGACCAGCGACGCAAAGCGACCACGATGATGGGTGCAGTTGGGCCAACGGCGCGTGGCAACGCCAGCCACAACGCGCCCAGGGAAGCTGCGTCACCGGCCGCGCCCAACACTCCAAGCACCGGAAGTGAAGTGCAAGAATAGCAAGCCTTGCACGCAAAACGTGCCAGCAAACCTACACTGTCACATAAAGAAAGGTGAATAAGTTTAATCCACCATGCAGCTGCAAGGGCAGACGAGCGCGGTGAGTTGGCCACCCAGCCAGGCAAGCGCCGACACTATCAAAAAACAAACAAAGGAAGAGGAGACGCTGAGAAAAAAAAGGGAGGGAGGAGGAGAGCGCAAAGAGACGCGCGGTCGCGCGAAGGCGACAAGGCAGCCATGGGCAAGGCATCCGCCCCCGACGCAATCACTGAGACTACCCGCCAGGATAGCCAGGCAGCCCGCACGGCCACCGAAGAACGGCGCACACGCAGCTGAACGGCAACGCACGCCCAGCGACGAACAACAAGGATAGCCAGCCAGCCAGACGCCAGCAAGTTCTGCGGCGCGAACCGCAACCGCAGCCCTCCAGCCACACGCCCGCGAGAGGCGCAGCACCCCCGCGCCCCACGGGCCCCCGCCCCCCCGCCCGGGCCCCCGCCGCGCGGCTGGCCAGACGACCCAAAGAGAAGACATGGCCATAGCCCCCAGCGGCGAGGGGGCGAGGCGGCCCCGCTGCCGACGCCGATCCACGGCAGCCTCGCGGCTCGGCGGGGGGGGGCCCAGATGGCGGCGGCGCCAGAGGCACGGCACTGGGCGCGCGACGAGGCACAGGGCGGCCGCGACGCAGAAGGTACCAGACGCAACGGGCGGCCGCGGGGGCCCACGCCAACCGACCCGGCCAAGGCACCCTACATCAAGCACCATCGGCGGCTAAGCCGCATGGGCAGCGACAGAAACGCGGGACCGCGAGCGCCACCGCTAGGACAACCCCACAAGGGGGGCGGGCGAAGAATCGGGGCAGCGCGAGGGGGCGCGCGACCGCGCCCACGGCGCGACGGGAAAGGGGGGCAGCCAGCCGATCGAGCCGAAACTCTGGCAGCTGAAGCAACACAGCTGGCGACGCGACAGCAGAGCCGAGCCAGCGGCTGGAGGCCGCCTATGGCGGCGCAGCCAGCAAAGGCACCGGCCGGGCCGGAGCGCGCGGGGCACGCCGCGCGCCGCGAGGGTGGGGCGGAAAAAAACGCAATACCAAGGGCGGCCAAGCCGCATGGATCGCGCAGAGAGAATAGAGGGCATTGCCAACGAAGCTACCAGGCACAAGATCCAGCAGCACTCGAAAAGACCGCGCACAGGAGCCCCCAAGAAAAAGGATGAGCCGGGGGGGCAGCGGGCGAAGCATGCACAGCAACGACAAGGCGGAGCAAGCCGCCAACAGTTGGCTCCTCTGCCGGAGCGGACGGTCGCGGGCAGGTCGAACCATCAGAACGCGACCTTCTCCAGAGCAGGCGCGAGCTAAGAGATGGCCCTGGCGGAGCTCGCGCACCCGACTGCAGCACGATGCCGCCCCAGTGCTCCCTTTATCCGCCACGCCTCCGCGCCCTGGAAAAATGCCCCGCGGCCTGTGGGTGGGCGAGGGTCTCGGGCGGAAATGCAGCGGGCCGCGGCAGAAGTGGCACTCCCCATTTTTCGCGCTACACATGACACAGAGCGCAGCGCGCTGCCCAGGCACGGATTCCTCTCGAGGTACCCTCCAGATAGCCCAGCAATTTGTGCAACCCGCCGTCGCCGCAAGGCCTTACTCCCTTGTGAACAGCTTCATAGAGGAGTGGATTCCCTCCGACGCGCGCAGACTCCTCGGCAGCGACCCACTGCGCCGCGCCATGCGCAGGGATGGCGCGGTTAGGCGGGCATGCCTAGCACAGCCCCCTACAGGCAAAGCAAGCGGATGCGCCTCCACAGCACCCCCCACACACTGGAGTCCTCTGCCCCAGCAGCCATTGCTCGGAAAGGAACAGAGCAGCGGCGCAACAGCTCCGTAGGTCCACGGGTTGATTGGCGCTGCTGAGGAGTACGCCGCCTGCCCATCCAGGCAGCCCTGAAACGTTTCGGCGCAGCAGAGCACGCACGGTCGCATCAGCCAGCGATGGTGCATGGCCTCATCTGAAGCTCCGAGAATTGGAAGGACAATTGGCAGGCGCTGGGTGGGCGCGCATAGGTCTAGAGCACCCTGGGATTGAGCCTGAAATTCGCTACTGGCGGCGGTCCCGATGGGGCTGGCTTCGAGCGGCGCGGCGCGGCATTCTGCCCCGTCGCCGAGCGGCAGCCACTTCAAACATGCCCGTGGAGCCATGCCCTGCGCGCTCCGCCTCCAACAGGGCGGCCGAAATCAAAGCTCGTAGCTGCTCTGAGTTGAGCAGAGAGGGATCCTTAACCGCCGTGGCATATCTGCTCGATTGGTGGTGCGCATTAGTCCACCTATCCCACGAGGATTGCAAACTGGCGCGCCTCGTTCCAGGTTTGCGCTGCGTTGGAAGTATTCGATGAAGGCCGCAAGCCTCGGCTGCGCGCCAATCGCGATTCGACGCCTCCTGGATGGCCCCGCTCACAGGAGACTATGTTACGGCTGTTCGTCGCTGCGGCCAACAAACAAGTGGGCGGTCTCATTGTTGGTTCCCTTCAGGTTGTGACGGGCCCTGCCCCCCCCCCCCCTCCTGAACAGCATTCTGGCGCACCTCATCGGCCTGGATCCAGTCCCATCCTGCCGCCTCGCTGACACCGGGCCCCTGGCAATCGCTTTTGACCGCTTCCGCGCACGGTGCACACGCACCCTCTCGCGGTTGCGACATTGGCCCTGGGAGCGTCGATGGCACGAGCCAGCGGGGCGACGCACTCGGGATGCCGATCGGCGGAGTCAGCGCCGCGATGCCGCGGCGGCGCGTCGCGAGACAGCACGCCCACCCCAGGCCTGCGCGCGCCTTCATATCAAAGGAAGGAGGCCAGCACTTGCTTCTCCTGCCCCCGTGGGCCCGCGCCCTTTGGCGCGACAACTTCTTCGCCAGGCCCCCCAGCGCGCCGCGGTGGGAATGGAGTTACCCATCATGCCAATGACGTGCGCCGCAGCGTCTGCCGGGGCTCTCTGTGCCCCACAGAACCGACGCGCCCGCTGCTCACCGCCTGGGGCTCACTTGCATTGGCAGCGTGATTCACGGATGTTTCCATTCTCCGCATGCGTCCAGCTGTCAATCTCACTAGCCTTTTCGACGTCGCGCCCATCGCGAACATGATCGCGCGCTGCCGCTTGCACGCGGGCGCTGGCCTCAGACCCACCTGCCGAAATCGGCCCAATAGGCCACGCAGTTCCTTCTCGGGCATTCCGCTGAAATATCGATCCCCGCATCGCGCCAAGCTCCCGCCCAGACTAGGACGAGCGGCAAAGGGAAAAGAGAGGGGAGGGCATTGGGCGTCATCCGCCTCACCCACGGCGAGCTCTCGGAGCGCCCCTGGAAATTCCCCCACCTCGCCACCGCGCCCGCAATTTTCCAGAAAGCTGTCCAGAATCGCCACCTCGTAATGGCAGGAACCACTACCTCCGCCCAAGCATTGGTTGTCCTTGATGCGCTGTAGCCATGGGTCATCCAGCCCACCGCGCCGCCGCCCGCCCCGCCCCGCCCCCGCGATCTGCCACCCCACGCACTGAGCGCGCGCGCGCGTTGCACGGGGCCGAAACGCGGCCCCGCTGGTCGTCCACGCATAGGCATCTGCCCCGATCCGCACGCGCGATGAATCCAGGCGATATGAGAATCCAGCGCGTGGACCGACGGGCCGGAGGAATGCCGCTCTGGCGCGCGGCCGCGCCGACAGCGTCGTCTCTGGAACCCCTCATCGGCGGGGCGCATCCGCAGCAGCGCGCAACAGCAGCGCGCAATGAACCGCGACCAAATCAAGCCCAGCCACCGGCCCCAAATGCGCGGACAAAAGATGTCCTGGAACAGTGCCCATGGCACTATGAGCAAAGCTCCACCAAATACCGATTGGCCCCTGCACCCCTGCCTCGCTTGCTGCGGTCGCCCAGGAGCCATTTGCTGTGCAGCGAGGCCATCTCTTTAAATTTCCCGAATTCTGCCACGTCGCAGCGCGCCCAGGGCATCGGCCACTGCGCCGCGGGCGAGGCTCGGGGCCTCCAGCTCGTCCTCTGGCGCGAAGCGCCCGCACTGGGAAACAATGCGCCAGTCGCCCCCGCCGGGTCAATGGGCGCTCCGCTGGGGGCCGCCTGCGCGCCTGCCCCCGCGACCGCATAGCGCTGCGGCCCGTCCAAAACGCCCCAGTTCCTTGCATCGTCGTTTGATCAATGCCCAGTCAGCCGCTCGCGAATCCAGGGCGCCCAGCCGCGGCCATCGTCGCGCAAGGGTTCATCCCGAGAGAGCGGGGCAACTGGTAGCGCCCATCTCTCGCTGCCGTCTTCGCGCGTTGCCCGCCATGCCAAGACGACGGTTTCCCCGTCGCGCGCAGCCGGGGTAATACGTAGGGCGTACTGTTGCTCTGCCTGGGATCGTCATTGTTGGCCCTTGTCGGTCGTGTCTGGCGCGGCCCCTGCTATTCGGGCGACGTCGCCCGGCTCCCAGTCGACGGTCGATCGCGGGATTTCGTCGTCCAACGCCCAGCGCGGCTTCCCCTGCCCCAGCGGCTCCGACCAAATAACGCCGCCCGGCGAGCCGGCTCGATGATATACGCGGGCGGCGCCCGGCGCGAGCCTCGCCACGCTGCAGCGCGCGGAGAGCGTCTCATCGAGAAGCACGCAGGCGAACTCTTGAAGGACGTGCCCCAAACGGGCCAGGTCCTCCGCGTGAGTCTCGCCATCCAGGGCCAGCATTTGGCCCAGACACCAGATTCCCCACTGCTCGGTTCCAATGCCCATTCAGCACTCCGAGGAGGACGCTGCAGGCTTCGCCCGACGAGCGCGGCGCGCGTGGGACAAACGGCCCCCCCATGAGAGGGCCCCAATTCAATTTGAGATCGCTCCCAAACTGCATCTCCTCTGGACCTCGACCGCAGATCCACATCGCTGCCACGCGCATGGCTTCCGCCGGGGAAGCAAGCTGATCGGCGGCGACTGCCACGGTGACCCGCTGCTTCTTATCCGCGAGCAACTCCAGCATGACTGCCCAAAATATCTCGTCTCCGAATAGCGGGACGCAACAGAGTGCGCAGACACCGGGCATTCCAGTAAATGCGCGCGCCCCATCTGCCCATCTTCCCCGTTGGGCCGTTGAGCAGGGCCCCCGCCTGGACGACGCCGTCGAGCGCCTCTTGGCCCCACGCCGCGAGCGCGCCCAACCCTCGTCGAGTAACAGCGAGACCTCATCCTTGGCAACAGGAAACGGGCCGGGCCCGCACTGATGCCTGGGGGCAGGCGCAGCGCAGCGCTCTTGATCTTCTCGTTCCAATTGCAGGACGCCCGGTCGTTCCGTAAACGCGGGCCGCCGCGGCATCTCGGATCGAGCCCTGGCGCGCAGTTCTCGACGGCCGCAGGAGCGGGGGCCTCGCACGGGGCAGGCAGTCAGAAGACCCGGGAGGGCGACGGCGACTACATCGGCGCCTTCAGCGCACTACCTGGATGCCCCGGGCCACCGCGCGCACCATCAGCGCGGCCCCCCTTGCGCACCGCAAGTTCGACCGCAACTGCGACCGCAGCCGCGCACTCAGCTGCCCCTCCCGCCGCTGCGATCCGAGGACGCGCGCGAGCGACCTCGCGTAGCACTGGCATATCCTGCGGCGTAAGTTGCGTTCCCAGCATGGAGATTAACCGAGCTGCCAGCCCAGCCACGTCACCAAACCCTAAGAGCGGCTTACACTTTCCTCCAGAAGGAAGATTGGTTTGGGAAGGCACGCCTCCTGCATTCAAGCCCGCCTGTCTTCCAACCAGCGCCGATGTCACGTTCAGCGGCTGCCCGCGCATGCCCCCGCGCGCCGTGTCCGCGCTGCCAAGGCCGCACACGCTCCCAGCCAGCGTTGTGCGAAGCATGCACGGTCGGCACCCCTGCCAACTTAGTCGCAGTCACATCACGCCCGATGGGTCGAGTCGCGGGACATGGTCCTGGATCGTTTTTGATCGCGCAGTGATATGGTAGGTCCATGCGCCGCCCCCCAACGTCTTCCAGTGGTTCCCATCCCCTAGGGACCAGATCGCCAGTTCCGACCAGAATCCGGTAGCTCCGGTCTAACAGGGTCGCCTCTGGCAGTTTGTCGCGCAAGGTCAATGGGTGCGGAATTCCTATGCCGTGCGCATGCCAGCACGGAGGGGTCGACGATTGCGGGGAAGTGCCTCCTGCCGCCCCGGGGAGTGAGAACTCGTCCTCCTGCCCCCGCACGTGCGAGCTTGTGGTCAATGATGTCATTTGGGATGATCCTCTCGTCCGTACCTACGGTATCCGCATGGCCTGGCAGGGTCTGCTGGATAATCGCCATGAGCACAGCGTAATTGTTGTTGACAGCGTTCACTGACCATCCCGTCGTGATGCAACCGTGGTTGGCCCATCACTTTCTGTTGTGATCACTGGCACTTGAAAGCGCTCGCCCGTCCTGATGAGGATGGACATTCGTAATGCATGTCAACGCGGGAGGGAATGCTGGGCATCTGGCAAGCGTCATGGCCATATGCCGAAGCATATCAAGGAGTCCGTCTTTCTTGACCCATGGGGGAAGGCCAACCATGATCTCGTCATTGAACCTCCGAGCTTGGACCTTATCTGCACTCCTGGCTTGTAACTTGGCGAGGTCCGCCTCATAGGCGATTCGAGCTCTCTGCACCTAAACACGCACCTCCGTGGTGCAAATGAGTAGCCACCTGTCAAATTTGTTGTCGGCGTGGTCCGTCGCGATCACATGGCTGTTCTCCACCACCTGTAGACTAAGCGTGAGCCTCGCCCTTGCGCAGCAGGCCAGGTGCTCAAGGAGCTCCGCTAATTTGGCACTTGGCCAGTGATCCAGATTGGTAATGGCGATAAGGGCGCATTGAGCGCAAGAGAGAAGCACATGTATTTGCCAAGGCTCGTGCAAAAAAAAAAAAAAAAACAAAAAAAAAAAACGAAATCTCGGTCATTGTTGGAGCTGGTCGTGGTAGCGATGACGAAGTCCGCTTCCTGCCCCTGCATGGCCTCGACGGAGCTCACGGTGATGTGTGGATCCGATCCGTTCGGAACCCGCTCATACAGGCCTCTGAAGCGAAGGTCCCCACCTTGTGCGCCAATCATGTTGCGGCACGTGTTTTCAATCAAGTGGTTGTGTTCGATCACCCTTGTTACCATCAGTGGCTCCATCGGTGGTGTCCATGGCAAAGATTTCCTCCGCTTCTGTGTCCTGCTGACTATTTGCCTTTGGTGGCTGCAGTGGCCTGTGGGTGTCTTTGCCAAGGACGTCCGACACTGAACATGGAGCACCAGCTAGGACGATGGCGGATTGGAGGGTGTAGGGAGCCACGACTGAAAGTTTCGCTCTCTCTCTCTCTCTCTCTCTCTCTCTTTCGTTCTTTCACACACACACACACACTCCACACACTCCACATAACAAGAATAGACAGAACAGCTGAATTTAGGCTGAAAGGCAAGGGATGATAATAAAAATTTGAGGACGACAAGCGAGGCGTCAAGAACCAGCAATGCTAACAGACAAAGGCCACACAGTACAGCAAAATAGCCGACGTGGAGGAGTTGCAGACGCACGCGGCAAACGCTGTCAGCAACAGGAATCCGCAACCGTGCCCCCTGGCACGCTGAGGCGTGGTCGAATGCCTGGGACTCCTTGGTAGATGTTCTGATATCTATATATATATGTGTATATACATATATGTATATATATAAATTTTGCGCATGTATATACATACATATATGTACACATACATGTATACATATATACATACCTACATACATACATACATGCATACATGCATGTATACATACATACATACATAAATACATATATACATGCATACATATACATGCATGCATACATACATAAATACATAAATATATACATGCATACAGACCTACATACATACATACATACATACCTACATACATGCATGCATGCATGCATACATGCATATACATATATACATACAGCATGCGTACATACACATACATGCATACATATATGCATACATATATACAGGCATACATACATACATGTATAAATGCATACATACATACATACATACATACATACATACATGCTACGCGCATATATACATACATGCATACATGCATACATACATACATATATACATGCATACATACATATATACATACATACATACATACATACATACATACATACATACATACATACATACATACATACATACATACATATCTGTATGCATGCATGCATGCATGCATGCATGCATGCATGGATGCATGCATGCATGCCTACCTACCTACCTACCTACCTACCTACCTACCTACCTACCTACATACACACATACATACATACATACATACATACATACATACATACATACATACATACATACATATATGCATACATGCATACATACATACATACATACATGCATGCATGCATACATACATACATACATACATACATACATACATACATATGAGTGTGTTGTGGGTCCCGTCTCTCATCACAGACTCAACACACTCCCTGGTACAATAATGTGGGTCCGCGCCCCCGAGGCCACCACCCCATCACGATCCGTCGCAACAAACAGTATGACCACACATGCGAACATTCCATACTAAGCTGGAAGTAAGACTCAGCACCGTCCTTGTGACTACGGGGGCTCTCTTCCTGCCGTATCGTTTGGTCCGTGCCGACGCTTACAAGCGTGCTTGAGGATTGCCACCTCGGATTACGAAGGACGCTCGACAAAGAGCGAGGCTCCCATTCGAGACTCTCTCAGGAGTCAGACTCCGACATGTCACCATAATGATGTACAGGGAATCCTGATGGCCGCCTCGGATGAAAAACATGAGGCGGGCGGCCGTAGCGAAGGGCTCCCGCTCAGGACTTACCCGCGAGTCACGTCCAGGCGAGCGCCCGAGACATAGGCCCCCGCTCAAGACTTCCTTTGGTTTCAGGCTCCCAGTATTCCGATTGCCGCCCCGGGCGACATGGGTAGCCCATAATGAGGGGTCCCTCGCTCGAGACTTCCTGCATTTCACTCACAGACGAGGCTCCCGCTCGAGACTCCCTCTCAGGTTGCTCAGGAACGAAGCTCCCACTTGAGACTTCCTCTGGCCTCAGGCTCCCAGGTGTCACGAAACCTTTGCTTAATATAAAACACATGGGAATCCACTGGCCGCCTCGGACTACTAACATGCGAAACCATAAGGAGGGGGGGGTCCCGCTCGAGACTTCCTTGCAATTCACTCACAAACGAAGCTCTCGCTCAAGACTTCCTGTGGATTCAGGCTCCCAGGTGTCATTCAACCTGCGTTTTTACATGGGAATCCGATGGCGGCCTCGGATTACCAACATGATCTGCGGGCACCGCAGGAAGGGGACTCCCGCTCGATACCTCCTCGCAATGCGAGCACAAACGAGAATCCCGCTCGACACTTCCTCTGGATTCAAGCTCCCAGGTTTCAGCAAACTTGCGTATTCTATGGATTTCCGATGGCCGCCTCGGATTACCAACATGATCTGCGGGCACCGCAACTTCCTTGTAATGCACTCACAGACAAGGCTCTCGCTCGACAGTTCATCTGGATGCAGGCCCCCGGGTGTCAGCAAACCTGGGTGTTGACAAGATTTTCCGACGGCAGCCCCGGATTAACAACATGACACGCGGTCCCAATAGGGACGGGGCTCCCGCTCGAGACTTCGTTGCAAGAGATTTCCTCGGTATGAGAATATGGATGTGTGAATGGTTGCGTGAGTGTGTGAGCGTGTGTGTGTGAGATGATGATGGTGATGACGACGACGACGATGATGATGATGATGCGGATGATGATGGTGGTGACATTGATGATGACGATGACAATGACGATGGCAATGACGATGAAAATGATGATGATGATGATGATGTTACAGATGATGATGGTAGTGATGCTGGCGATGATGATGGTGACGGAGATGACGATGATGATGATGGTGATGATGGTGATGATGGTGATGATGATGATGATGGTGACGACGATGGTGATGATGGTGATGGTGGTGACGCTGATCATGGCGATGCTGATGTTGGAGATGATGACGGTGGTGGTGATGTTGATGACGGTGATGATGATGATGCTGCTGATGATGACGATGGCGATCATGGCGGTGGTGATGCTGATGATTGTGATGTTGATGCTGGTAATGTTGATGGTGGCGATAATGATAACGGTGATGACGGTAATGATGATGGTGATGACGAACATGTTGTTGTTAAAAATGATGATGGCGGTGATGGTGATGGTGATGGCGTTGCTGATGACGACAACGATGACGATCACGATGACGATGGCGATGACGATGACGACGACGACGATGACGATGACGACGACGATGAGACGAAGGAGGAGGAGGAGGAGGGTGATGGTGGTCATGATGGTGATGGTGATGGTGATGATGATGATGATGATGATGAGCGGAAGGAAGAGGATGACGATGATACTGATGATGAAGAAAAGAAGGGGAGGAGTGATGGTGAGGTTCCTGCGCGGGGGGTGTCCAAAGAAAACGAGAGCACCACTTAGGATGTGGGGAAAACCGTGGGTCCGCGCTGCCAAGGCCAGGAAACCTCATCAAGAACCGTGGATCCGCGCTCCTGGAGCCATGATCCCTCGAGAAAAAATGATCCGCGATCCCGCTTCCCAAGACGGCCGAGGCAGGCAAAGGCAAGGCCGCCGAGGTGACCCAAGGCGGGCCAATATGGTCCAGAGGCGGTCCAAGATGGCCTCAAGACGGCCCAGCAGGACCCGAAGACGGCCTAACCGGACCCGAAGACCAGCCAACAGGACCCGAAGACAACCCGAGGCGAAAGTCCCCCGCATTTGCTTCAAAGATTTGGACGTTTTCATATTTTTCTGGAGCCCTGCGGCCCCAGACGGCCCTAGAGGCGAGGCCTCCGAGATGCCACCAGGACGGCCCAAGAAGCCCCACACTTGCAATGCGGCCTCAGGACAACCCACAGGAGCCCCACGTTGGCCCAAGAGGGCCTCCAGGAGCGATCAAGACGGCCTCAGAGAACCCTTTGAACGGCACAAGACGGCTAAAAGACGGCCCCGCGACGGCCGCTGGAGGCCACTCCGACGGCCATGAGGCCCCCAAGCCGACCCAGGTGAGCCCCAGGACTTTGTGGCTTTCTGGCTCGGCTCCAGCGGACAGCCACGCCCCAGGCTGGGGCAGATCCGCACTGCAAACGGCAGCGCCCCTTCAGAACGCCGAACTCGCCGCTGGCCTCCGCCTTCGGCTCATTCTCGACGGCAGCGTCTCGCCGCTCTGCACGGCTCCGCTGGGCTTTTCCTGCTTCGCAGGTGATTCCATCTCCTCGTCGATCCGCACCCCACTCGAGCTCGCCGCCAGCTCGACGCCCGACTCCTCCACGCTGGTCTTCCTCTGCTTAGCAGGTAAATCCATCTCCGCGCCGATCCGCACTCCACCTCTCGGGCTCGCTCCTGTCCCGACGCCCGTCTCCTCGGCCCGAAATGGCACGCTGCCGCCGGCCTCGCCCCCGCCCTCCACCACCTCCAGCTCCACAGCAAAACTGGCGACGCAACCTCCCGAAATAGCCGCTGGGCTACACACCGCGCCACCAGAGACCTCTGGCGGCTTGGCCCCGACACCCAACGAAAGGGCGGGAGGCCCCCCTACGATCTGACTCGAGGTTCCGCTGCCAGCAGAACGTACGACGTCACCATCGAAGTTGGCCGATGGAGAAACTTCCAGCGGCGGGGCGCGCGGTCCCCCTGCGCTCTGACTCGAGGCCACACTGTCAGCAAAACGCACGACGCAACCCCCCCAGCTCCCCCATGACTCGGTCCTCCGCTGTTGCCACCTCGGCGGAACGCTCCAGGAAATCCTTCTCCGCCTGCTCCAAGGCCGATGTGGGCTGTTCTCGACGCCTGTAGGCCTTCTGCTGCGCCTTGGTCGCCTTCTGTGCTGCATCCCCTGCTGCCCGAAGTGCCGCTCGAGTGCCTGTCTGTGGTGTGTGCTGCGAGGTGTCTGGCTTCGGCGCCAAGCTGTTGAGCACCGCCTCGGTTCGTTTTTTTGTCTGCGCCAACGCACTGCTTTGCGGCCATCTCCAGGTACTGCAGGTGGGGTGCGTTCTCGTCCTTGTAGCTGCTGGTGCAGTCGCCTGCGTACGCGCGGTACTGACCATGTCGCGGCGCTGCTTCACCCCGTTTGGTCCCGCCGCACTTGCATTGGTAGCCCACATCCGCCAGCCTGCCAGACCACAGCCACTTGCCGCAATCCTTGGCATAACGCTTTGACCCCACTGCCTGCTCCGCCTCGCCCCCAGCTGGGGCGGTTGACTGGTCTGCTCTCGGCGGTAGACCACGATGACTGGACCCACGGTGCCCGACGCCACGGACTTCGTGCTCCGCCGCCGCCCCCGCCGCCAAAATCGCCAACGCCACCGCCGCCAGCAAGAGGAGCCATCGCTGTCCGCCGCCCCGCTTCCCAGCGAGAGCTCGCTCTGGCTGCCGCGGAATGGCGGTATCCCTTCGCCCCCAAGGGGCGACGGCCCCCTGTGTAGGACATCTTGAGCCAAAATGGCTACGGAGGTGGGCCCCAAGACGGCCGAAGATGTCCCCAAGACGGCCCAGTGGCCCAATGGACCTCCAAGACCGCCTCACACGAGCCAAAGAAAGGACTGAAGAAAGGGAGGAATATGACGAGGACGCGAAGAAAATCTCGACACAACGCGTAAAAATGTATCACGTGCTACGGTTACCTCACGCCTCAATACACGAGGTGTTACGCGTTATGGCCTTCTGGGCGCCCCCCGGACAGTCGCCACCCGAGGTGCTGGGCTGAAACGGTGGCGTGACTTGCCGCAGACAGCTGGATGAGAGGACTTCGAGGCTGGAGACGCATTATCCACTCCTCCTCCTCCGCGTGCTCCTGCATGGATCGCATAAGAAACTCTCTGGCGACTGCTTGCGACCAGGGCAAGCATGCCCAAGCATTGGATACATCACACACGCGAAGACACAAGTACGAGACATAGCTGAAAACGGCATACCCAGCAGTAGACGGGTGCAGAAGCAAATCGAACAGCCGAGGCGAAACTCGCGGCAGCGACGCTGCCGCAGCAGCAGCCGCTCAGCAGAAACCCCTACTACTCACCATGTCATTCCCTCTTCTTGAGAGCTTCTTGCTGTGGACGTGGCTTCGAGACAAGCGCTAACTCCCAGACAGTCGTACCGCGACGAGGGGGACCGACAAGGGCCCCAAACCGAAACGCAGCGAAGGCTCTTCTCAGGGGCACACGCGTTGGAAGGAGGAGGACAAAGACGGTGGAATCTGCACGGGTGCTTGTACGTTTGCCTCCTGGCTCGGGCAGGCACAAGCAGGTTGTGGACTGGGACGTCGGGGGCACATCTTGCCAGCAAGCTGGGCAATGGCGAAATGATAGAGTCGCAGCCTGACCTAAAGATGCGCCAAACACCCCGAAAAGAACCCCATATTTGTCTCACTCTTCTTCCCTCTCCTCCTCGAGCCCTCCTCCTCCTCCTCCTCCTCCCCCTCCTCCTCCTCCTCCTGCTGCTCCTCCTCTTAAGCCTTCTCCTGCTCCTCAGAAGCGCGGCCCACGCCAAAACAGCCGGCCAATCTCTGGCACACTCGATCGTGGGGATGAGAGCTCCTCCCGAGGCATGTGCGCAGACGCCTCCAAGGCGCGCGCAGCTGAGCACGAGCAGCAAAGCAGGCGCAGCAGAGCAGGCGCTTCAATCATATTCTCAAAGGGGTTCCAAAACGAAGCGTTCTAGAGGCCGTCTGAACCAGCAACAGAAGACGTTACTCGCCAAGCAAATTGCATATTTGTGTCAACCATGGACCATGCATGGGAAGAGAGGAACGCCAGCAAACGCTCCAGGCCACAGACCTTGCAGCAGTATCTGCATGAGCCGTCCAGACCAGTACACGCGCAGAACACCCTGCACGAGGCCACTGCCTTGGCTTCTCGAACGGCGGATTTCTATGCATTGTGACAACGGGCACGTTGGCTTCTGACACCGCGCAGATCGTCCAACCTTGTTTGATCTCAGCGATCTAACAGCAGACATCGTTCTTTATCAGCCTGGTACAGGCCGCCAGTGACATTCTACCTTGAACGCCAGCGCCGGCGTTGCCGCCAAGTCGACGCGGCGCGAACCAACCATACTCTTGGTCGGCTTCACAGCCGAATGAAGGGATAGGAGAGGAGACGTAGAAGAAGGAAGAGGGGAGAAGGATCGCTGGGCCGATCACGCCATCAGACGACGTAATCATATGGCATGTATAAACTAGCCGCCGCTCGCCTGGCTCGTTGCAGCCATCGCGAACCGATCACTGTGATCATGATCATGCGATCCAGAATCACTGTGATCGGCTAACTGAGGACATGACGGCGTACCGCTCAGGGCCACCGCCCAAGCTGAACCCACTGCGGCAGCGCGAATGCAGACTCGATGGCACAGAGCCGAATACAGCGCCTCCCCTCTGCGTCATCAAAAGAAGCTGGGGACGGAGGGAGGGAGGAGGGAGGCACGGGAAAGGAGCAGGGAGGCTGAAGGGCAAGGGAGGGGAGGGGAGGCAAGAGGAGGGAGGGAGAAGGGCGAGGAAAAAGGAAGGCAAGGGAAGGAAAGGGAGAGGGTGGAGGCCAGAGGAAATGGAGAGAATGGAAGAGAAAGAGGAGGGGGCCAATCAAAACCCGCGACGTCAGGTTGCCCTCGGGCCGCCTTCGGCCGCTGCTTTCCCTTCCAGGCTTCGGGCTAGAATATTAAGTGCATGATTCGCAGTATTCGAACGTATGGCCCAGCTCGGGGCTGGACAATGGCAGGACGAATTTGGTCCTGCATCCCAGGTTTCTCTGCCGCGCCTCTGCAAGATCAAGTGCAAGCACCTTCCATCCTTCACAATCGAATTTGCTTCGCATGTTGGTGTCAAGAAATTTGTGCGACTTGAATTTTCTGGGGCCCGCTCCACCTGCAGTTGAGACAGATGGCACAAGACAGCTGCTCGCGATTGGCGCCACGCCACTGCCTCGAAGCCTGAACGGTTTGCGCTGGAAAGATCGCGTGCAGCGTCGGCCTCCGAAAAGCAGACTCTCCCTGTGAGGCGATCCCCCCGCGAGGGCCCCTCCTGTGCAGACGATCCCCCTGCCAGACTTCTTCAGCGCACGCAGTCCTCAAGGTGGTGTAATCAGCGAGTGCAGGCCGGCGGGGCCACAATTGAAGGGGCCCCGGGACACACAAATAAATACACACGAATAACCAGTCTCCCCATATTTTCCCATATGTTCTGGGTTTCTGTCTTCCCCCCACTTCCCATATTTTCCCATATTTTCTGGGGAATCGACGATTAATTGTGTCTGTGTGTTTTTTCCCCTCCTGAACAATGCCAACCATAAACAGGCTTCTGGCGCGGCCGGGCCACTGGGGACCCCCGCGCACGAAAGTGTTGGCCCCGTGCTTTGTCAACAGCGGATGGCCGACCAAGCAGTTTCTTCTACGCCTCTCGCCTCCTCATGCGCCACATTCCTTCCTGCATCCTGAGCGGACTGACCGTCATGCACTCCACGACCCTCAGAGAGCTTCGCCCAAGGCCCCCTCGCCAAACTGGTCTCGTAACTACAAGCGGGCTACCCCGTAGGAATCGCCCTACCCCTGGGGGAGCCCTAACAAATGCCGCAGCCGGACGCGATCGCAAAATGAGCTAGCTCCCATAATGGTATACCCCCTCAAGCTTTCCCCACCTCGAAGGAGCCTCACGAAACAGTCCTGTGGGACACGTTCGCGCAGTGAGCACCGACAGGCCCAATCAAAACGACGATGGAGCGTGCTTCCAAGCTGGATCGGCACCCAGACAGGCTTGCCATCAATGTAGGCTGCCAGTACTCATATGGAGTTAAAGTTGAGATGCCAGCGGGAAGAGCTCCCATAGTGGGCTCGGCCAAGGATGTCCTGTGACCCACCCCATCACGCATGTCTATCCCCAACTCAGGCTTCAGTGGTACGTATACGGGATCGCGCCCAAAACGGCCTACGCTTCACAAAAATTCCCAATAACCAACAAGGAGGCACACTCAGGGCCTCAGTCCCACCCAGAACAGAAATACGCGAAACCAAACGCGGACCCCTTGCTTCTTGATTTGCAAGACGGCAATGAATTCCTGCAAATAGGCGTGCCCTATAGGAGTCCCAGCTCAAACACCACTAATTGGTCTGTTGCCCCCCCCCCCCCAATTCCTATGCCCCCCCTAATTCCTATGGCTATGCCTATGCCTATGCCTCCCCCCTAACTCCTATGCCTACGCCTATGCCTATGCCTGCTTGCTTGCTTGCTTGCGCGCTTGCGCGTTTGCACGCTTGCTTGCTTGCTTGCTTGCGTGCTTGTTTGCTTGCTTGCTTGCTTGCTTGCTTGCATGCATGCATGCATGCATGCATGCTTGCGCGCTTGCTTGCTTGCGCGCTTGCTCGCACGCTTGCATGCTTGCTGAGTTGCGGATTCCAAGCAGGCTTGATTCCTCGGATGTCTTGATTTGAGTCGTCTATTTGGAGTCAACGCTGGCTGATATTCGTCTTCCAGCAATCGCACTAGAATGTGCTGAACGCTCTCTACGCTTCCCAACCAACCACGGGAATCATCTGGATTGTCTACTCGACAGACTTCTGGCTTGAAAACGGACAAATTCGTGCCATCAACCTGGAAACTCACACTGCCGAGGCAATCCCTAGAATTACACTAACTGTGGCCTGCTGAAATCAAAACATGTAAACTAACCGGGAAACTGACCTGAACGGCAGCGCAGCAAGGAAAGAAGGCACCGTCAAATCAAGGGCACAAATCGTCATGCGGCAGTCAGGGTAATTTTGACGCCCACTAATGGGAATGTGCTGCAAACTCTCCGACACTCTTGCCCCAGGTCCGAAAACACCCCCGCCAGTGTCGACAACCAACGCGCCCCCGCCAGCAAGATCAGCAGGATGGCCGCCGTCAGCAAGTAACACAAGCATCAGCCATCTCAGACACATGCTAGGACGCAAAGCCGCGTAGCCCTGACCCTTACCCTGGCGAGGCGCCAAATTCTTTCATGCTCCCCTTCCACGTCGATGTGCGTGGTTACTGTTTGCTCGCTGACACGTTGCATCGACACTGTGGCAGCAAGGACCATGTATTCGATTACGTCTGAAAATGCAACCGCGTGCAGTAAAGGAGGGTATGAGGTAGCCCCGCAGTGGCCGCAAGGACAACACACGACAAGGTGTACAAAGAGCAACTTACCCGAGAACGCGTCAAGGATCACGGCCATGTTGGAAGAGACAGCGAGAATAGCAACGACACCGAAAACGACCTCCCAACAAAACACCACAACGGCCTTCCCACAACTACCATGCACAAGCTAGCGCCACGCTCCACGTGGCATGGCGAGGGATGGCAAGTCCCCCTGAGACAGCACTCCGCCGCTGGAAGCCCTCCTGCCTTCCGCGGCACTGCTCAAGGAAGCCTCCAAGACAAGGGCCGGACACTTCCAAGAAGCAGGAGCAGGGAAGAAGGAGGAGGAGGAGGAGGAGGAGGAGGAGGGGGGGGGGGAGGGGGAGTAGGAGGAGAGGACCCTTGTCCGCTCAGCGGGGGGGCCCGGTGCGCGCGCCACCGGGCAGCCCCACCCGCCCAACCGCCCCCCACACCCCGGGCCTCCCGGCGGCCGATCGGTGGCGGGCCGCGGCGTCTCGGGGCCTTCTCGGCGGCGAGCCAGGAGGGGGGAAGAGAGAAGGGGCGGGCCTTCTCAGAAAGCTCGGAAGACCCCCCGGCCTTCTGAGAAGTTTTCGAAGCCTGCCCCGAAGGCACAGGGACCCTCTCAGAAGGCGCGAGGGCTTCTGAGAAGCCCCGCCGCCTTCTGAAAAGGCCTCCTCCTTCTCACTTCCCCCCTCGCTCGCCGCCGACCTTCGCCCACGAGCACGTTCGGCTTCACGCAAGATCGGGGGCGACGATGGGGGCGAATAGCCCAGGGGGCAGCAGCACGGGTGTCAGGGGGCGCCGACGGTTCATGCCTTCGGCAAGGCTCCCGGGCGAATACGCCTGATGTCCGCCCCTGGGCTGCACCCCTGCTTAGAGTCAAGAAAATTCGAGGCTAAGACCATGAACTACACTCAGAGCGTTTGCTCAGACAGCTGTCCAGGTCCACATTCACGAACACCCCACGCAAAAAGAGGCCCCAGGAACACGCGCATGGGTCCAGTCCAGCCTCCTGATCCTCTTGAGCGGGACCTCGAGCCCATGCAGGCTGACGTCTCTTCTAAATTTCTGCGGTGGCAACTCATGGGAGCCTCCCGTACCATCTTGTCGGCTCTTGCGAATCGACGGTAGTCGACGCTAAGTCGACGCTAATCGACGCTAAATCGACGCTGATCGACGCTAACCGACGCTAAATCGGCGCTATCTCATCCACTCCCAGACGCTAATCGACGCTGAAGACGGAATTGAGAGGGTATACCAGGCCCCCCTGGTTTGCGAACGAATGCTGGGTGTGTTCGCCCCCGTCGCCGCCTCCGACAGGAGCCACCCCTGGACGAGGGCGACCCCCGGCGCCCGGCCTGCCGACTGCGGCGCGCGGTGCGCGCCAGTGCGACCTGCGCGCCGGGGCGCCGGCCGCCCCGCGCCGCCCAGGGGAAGGCCGCGCACCGGAGGTCGCCCCCGCGCAAGGGCCGCTCCTGCGCGGCGGCGCGGCCGACGCGCTGCCAGGGCTCCCGAGAACTGAGCGGGCGAAGAGCGGTGCGTTTCCCGTAGAGATCCGGGGGAACTTTGGTTTCTGCATCTTCTTTCCTCGCCCGCAGCGTGGCTGCTCGTGCGCGGTCCTCTGGTTCTGCACTGCAGGCTCTAGAATTCCTGCCTCCGGTGTTGTGGGAGAGCGTCGAAGCCTGTAGAGTGAACTTCTTCGCCGTGGGGGGCGCCTGTCCCAGGGGGTTGGGACAGGCGCCCCCGGGTGACGGAGAAGTCTGTTCGATGCCGTTCTTCGCCCGCTGGAGAGTGACCGCCGCCAGGCCCTACGGAGACCCCCCACCGGCTGAAGAAGCCAAAACGGCCTGTGGAAGCCTTTCTGCGGGACTGGCCACGGAAGAAGCAGGGAGCGCACATGACGCAGAGGAAAGGCACCCGGCACCGTGGTAGGGGACAGAACTTGCCCCCATCGAGGACACGTCGTCGCACGGCAAGCTGATCTTTCGGTAGCGCTTGCCATGGAGTACGCGATCGCCGGAAAAAAAAATGATACAAACACACATGGTCGCTACACCAGCCGAAAACTCTTCCGCGTCTCCCCAAGGTGTGCGCGGGACCATCCATTTCTCTGAGCACGGATATGTGTCAGCCCTCTTGTTCTAGCTATTCCTGTGCCTCCCCTCTCTCTCCTCATGATTTTGTTTCTCCTCCTCCTCTTCCCGCTCCTGCTGGAGACCACAGCGACGGCGACAACAACAAGAGCAACAACAACAACAACAACAACAACAACAACAATCATTTTTAAACTGTTCGCTTTTACTGGCACGCGTGTCCTACATTCCGTATACCCCAACCCTTGATACCCGCCCACTTCGTCTTCGATTGCACCCCCTTTCGGAGGGAATATCTTCCTTGTCGGCCACTGACTGAAGTGCGAAGAACTCTCGAGCGAGAGCGCCGTTCCTGAGTTCGGGGGCCTCTCTGGCCAGGGGCTCTCGGAATACCTATGGAGAAATGTCGAACGGGAGCCCTTGTCCCCGTGTCCAGGCCTCCACCAACTTGCCTGAATTACGGGAACGTCTCGAGCGAGAACGCCGTTCCTGAGTTCGGGGGCCTTCTTGGCCAAGGACTCTCGAAATAAATCGTGCGGAAGTAACGAGCAGGAGCCCTTGTCTTCGTGGCTGGGCCTCCGCCAACTTCATTGAATTGCGCAGCCGGGCCTCCAAATGCCCACATTTGGGCTCAAGCCAAGGCTCGAGCGAGAGCCTCGTTGCCAAAGAAAATGAAGCCAGCGTCGCGGCGAGAACGCGCGGAACCGCTTCCGGAGATCAACAAGAATTATTACTAAAAAATGTTATTCAACAGCAACAACAGCAACAACAACAACAACATCAATGAGAATGTTTGAAACTGCTCTCCCTCTACTGGCACACGTGTCTTGCATTCCGTATACCCCAAACCTCGATACCCGCCCATTTCGTCTTCGATTGCACCCCCTTTCGGGGGGAATATCTTCCTTGTCGGCCACTGACTGAAGTGCGAAGAAGTCTCGAGCGAGAGCGCCGTTCCTGGGTTCGGGGGCATCTCTGGTCAAGGGCTCCCAGAATACCTATGGAGAAATATCGAACGGGAGCCCTTGTCCCCGTGTCCAGGCCTCCACCAATTTGCCTGAATTACGGGAAAGTCTCGAGCGAGTGCGCAATTCCTGAGTTCGGGGGCCCTCTTGGCCAGGGGCTCTCGGAGTAAATCGTGCGGAAGTAGCGAGCAGGAGCCCTTGTCGTCATTGCTGGGCCTCCGCCAACTTAGTTAAATTGGGAGGAGCTCTCCAGCGAGAGCGCCGCTCCTGAGTTCGGGGGCCTCTCTGGCCAGGGTGTCTCGGGATGAACTGTGAGGAAGTATCGGCCGGGAGCCGTTGTTGTCGCAGCTGGGTCTCCAAGGGCCCACATTTACGCTCAAGCCAACGCTCGAGCGGAAGCCTCCTTTTCAGCGAAAATGTAATCGGCGTCGAGGCGAGAGCGCGCGGAACCGCTTCTGGAGATTAGCAATGATTATTCTTGAGAAACGATTATTCAACAACAACAACAACAACAACAACAACAACAACAACAACAACAACAACAACAACAACAACAACAATCATTTTACCCGAACGCTCAGTGTTCTCCCCAGTGCCAGGGTTTTCTTGCGACACCAGCCAATACCCCCACTTCGTGGGGGGGCCGTTCAAGCTCTACCAAATATCCAAACGACTCTTCGAGACCACCCACACCCAGCTTCCCGCCCTATGACGTTGGGACACTTCACTTCGTGGCGTGCGGACGACCCTGGCTACTACACTGGCGTGGGGTACACACCCACAGAGATTTCGACATGCGCGCGCGGCGGCCGCGCGCATGTGCACTTCGTCTCATTTTTTGCAAGGGATGGTGGCCCTCGCAGGCGCGCAACCGTTGTTGGAGAAGTTCAAAGCACCTGAAGAAGTAGCACGCAAAGACCCTTTTGACAGAAATGTTTAAAAAGTGGTGTGTTTCCTATGAATCCGCAAGAGCGCGCGGAAGGACATTTTGACAATTTTTTCTTAAAAAAACCATTGGGTTTTTGATGTTTTTATGTTAAAATCGCTACGAAACCTAAGGTTTTGGAAGGATTTCGTCTTGCGAGCGCGAATGTCCACTTTACCTTATTTTTTGCAAGGGATTCTTGAAATTTGATCAACTAAGAACAAGAATTTTCATTTTCTATTGTTTTTTGCAAGGGAAAACGAGCGTCAACAAAAAACCGGATCCGGGGGTAATCCACTTTTCTGAAGCTTTCGCAGAAAAATGATGAAAATGTAGCTGCGGCCTAGGTTTTGGGCGGGGGGCGTGCACCAGGGGGTCCAACAATAATAATTCTTTAGAAGTAATAGTGTTCAACAACAACAACGACAACGACAACGACAACGACAACGACAACGACAACAACAACAACAACAACAACAACAACAATAATAATAATAATAATAATAAGATCGTTCGCCCTTATATGCTCGAGTGTCCAAACACGCGTATTTCCCAAACCCTCGATACCCGCCCTGTTCGTCTTCGATTTAACCCCTTTTGGGGGGTATACATTTCTTCCCTGCAGGCCAGGCCCCGGCAAGAGGCGGGGCGGCCGCGGACCGTCGGCCTGGCCAGCGGCAGCGCTGATCGGCGGGGCCGCCGCGGACCGTCGACCCGACCCCAAGAGGGACGGACACGGGACCGACCACGACGACGACGGCGACGACGACGACGGCGACGACGAGCGAAAGCGACAGCGAGAGAGATCGACAGCAGGGCCACGATGGGCACGAAGTAGGCCACGAAGGGCGACAGCGGGGACACGAAGGGAATGCGTATGGGGCCACGAAGAGCGCGAACGAGCGGGGGCCACGAAGTGCAGATAATGCGGGGCCACAGCAGGCAATTATGGGGCCACTGAGGGCAGCAACTGGGCCACGTAGGACAGTGAGGGGGGACACAAATGGCGACAGCGGGGCCACGAAGGGCATGCACATGGGGCCACAACGGGCGCGACTCCTGGGTGCCTGGGTGTCGGGAGCGCGGCGCTTGGGCAAATTGCAAGAAAATTCCAACGCAAGGCCATCCTTCAGTAAGTTGCAAGCAAGTCTCCAGCGAGAGCGCGACTCCAGAGCGCCAGGGGAGCGATTCCTGAATAAATTGAGAGGAAGTCACAAGCGAGAGCGCGACTCCTGAATAAAATGCGAGGAAGTCTCGGGCGGGAGCGGGGGTCCTGGCTTAATTGGAAGGAAGTCTCAAGCGGGAGCCGTTGTTGTTGTAACCCGGGGGCCAGGGGACCAGTTTGAGCAGGAAGACTTTCCCTATCAAAAAACAGAGTGCGAGCGTCGATTGTCGGGTCGCGGGTTGTCGGCGGCGAGAAAGGGCACCGTCTTCAGGAAAGAGGGAGGAAGCCTCGAGCGGGAGCGTTGTTTTTGCTGGGAGCGGCGCCAATTCAAAAGAGAGTTGGGCGCCAGTCCAACGTAAAACGGAAGCAAGTCTCGGGCAGGAGCGCTGTGTTTGTAGGGCCGGCGGTTTTCGGCGGCGATGGAGAGCACCGCCTTGAGTAAAAAGTGAGGAAGCCTCGAGCGGGGGCGTTGCTTCTGCTGGGGGCGGCGCCGATGAGAGAAAGACTAGCGCGCCACTCCAAGGTAAAACGAAAGGCAGTCTCGAGCGGGAGCGCTGGTTTTGTCAGGACGGCGGTTTTCGGCGGCGAGCAAGAACACCAGCCCTAAGCAAAAAAAGAAAAATCTCGAGCAGGAGCGTTGTTGCTGTTGGGGGGCCGGTTTTGGCGGCCCCCCAAGCCGCTCGAGCGCGAGCCTAATCTTTTATGAAAATGCAGCCGGCGCCTCGGCGAGAGCGCCAGAGCGCCTCTAAGGGGCCCAACAATAATAATTGTTTAGAAATTAACATTCAATCATTCCAAAACTGTTCGCTCCTACCGGCCCGCGTGTCATTCACTGTGTATATCCCAAACCCTGGGCACCCGCCCTCTTCGTCTTCGATCGTACCCCCCTTTGGGGCGTTAATTCCGTCCTGGCCACGCGTAATCGGAGAGGCCCTGAAACAGGGAAACGAAAGGGAAAAGACAAAAAGAGAGGACGAAGGGATCGGAGGAAGGGAAGGATTAGAGGAGCAAGAGGGAGGGACGACGTTGATTTGCGCCGTGAGTTGCGTTTCAGCTTGCGCCATGGCTTGCGCCAGCCATTCCAACACAAGTGCACAAAGGCTTCGCCATGAGTCGCGCCAGAAACAGTGCCACGTAACACCTGTGGTGCTGCTCGGCGAGGCGTTGCAGGAGAATGTGGTGCCCGACGCCATCTCCTAGAGCGCTGCAGGGCCAGGGTGGGTCAGAGGAACCAGCAGGGGACGCGGGCCTTGTTGCTGCTGCACGACATGCGGCATTCACGGCGAGCGGGGAAACCGCGTAGTGGTAGCTGGCGTCGGCGCTGCTCAGCGAGAAGTGGAAGGCGAAACAGCAATCAGATGCAGCGAGCTCTGGCACTTGTCTGCGGGATGCGGCAATCGACACTGGGACCCAATTACATTAGCTATAACGCGGTGGTCACCGCGTGCAGGATGACGACCAATGGCAGTTGACAGCGTCTTTGCCCAGCGGCCCCGTGGGAGGTGAAGTGGGGGCCCGACTTCGTGAATCACAGCGCTGGGATTCGAACGCGCGGGAATCTCGTGAGCTATATACAATAACGGAGCGTCAGGACCACTGCGCCAGGATCTGCGTGCGCGAGAAGGGCAAGCCGCAGCAGCAGGCACTGGCGATGCTGCTCAGCGCGAAGTGGGAGGCCACGCTTAAGGAGACATGGGAGGTGAACTGGAGCCCGCCGTCTCCAGCCACAACGTTGGGGTCGGAGGTCTGGCACGCCCAAGCCAAACGTCGCCAGCTGCAGCGCTGGCACCGGCGCGCGCGCGGCAGGCTGGCTGTCCCAATGGGCTCTGGGGCTGCCCAGAAGGACGTTGAGGGCGACGTTGGAACCCGATGGGAAGCGCGGGGAAGTCCTCAGATACAGCGAATGTGCGTGTGATAAACATGGGCAGCGCGTGTGAGACGGGAGCTGCTGGTGGCTCCGGTGCTCGTCGGCATGATACGGGCAGCGAAGCCGGAACCCAACGCTATCTCAGCTAGAATACTGGAGCAGGGCATTCCCGCCTTGCGGGGCTTGGGCGCCCAGCCCCAATGGCCGGGCGCCGCTCGTCGACCAGCCAGTCCCCGGCTCTACGGCGGGCGGGGTTCGGGAGGCGCGGGCTAGACTACCCCAAGGGCATCGGTCTTGGGGGGACCGATGGCCACGCGAGCCCCACACCGAACACAAAGAACGCTGGACCTCGCGGCCGTCACATTCGAAGCGGGGCCCACTCCCCACCGCCCCGTCGACAGCAGCAGCACCCCCAGCAGCCCCCCCGCCCCCTTGGCTACCCCGCCCGAGCTGCTCAACAGCTAGGGCGCGGGCCTGGAGCATGGGCGACGGGTCACACTGGGCCCCTGGCTTCAAAAGCGCCTCAACACTCGCAGGGCCCCCAGCCACGGCCAGACAACGCCTGCGCTGCAACGCGGAAGAGCCAGAGGGGAAGGAGGAGGAGGAGGAGGAGGAGGAGGAGAAGAAGGAGGGGAGGAGGCGGAAGGAGGAGGATCAGGACGAGGATGAAGATGAGGATGAGGAGGAGGACGAGGAGGAGGACGAGGAGGTGGAGGAGGAGGAGGAGGGAGGCAGGCAGGCAAGCAGGCTGGACGGGAAGAAGGAGAGAGAGGAGGGAGGAAGGCGGGGGCTGACGGGCCGACAGGCTGGCCCCCGGCAGGCGACGAGGCAGTCGCGCGGGCTATCGGCCTGGCTGGCTGAAGGGCCGGCTTGCCAGACCCCGGGAAGCAGGCGGGCCCCAGGGGGGCTCCTCCCCCTCCTCGCCCCTGCCTGCTGCTCGTCCTCCTCCGTAGATACTTTGGCCCAAGGCGCATGTTTCCCCTGGGAACAAAGTGGATACCGCTAGTCCGCGGTCAGCTTCCGTTTCTCCTCCTGGCCCGCCCCCAGGATAGAAGCCTGCGCCAGCGCGCAGAGCCGCATTCAGCGCCCCCCCTCGCACATTCGATGGGACGCAATGGCCAGAAGAGTAGGCAGTACGTGGCCTGCGGCAGCTGCAGGGGCTGGACGTGCGAGGACAAGCTCAGGCGGGCGCGGGGCGGGCGCCGCTGCTGGGAATGGCTGGGGCACAGCCACACGCAGCCAGGTGCTCGGCAGCAACCCGCGTCGACGCCGCCTTGGAGGAGTGGGCCCACGCCGCGCGAGGCGAAGTGGGGCTTCACCACGAAGGCCTGCCTGGAGTTCCTGACCAAGAACGCCAGCTACGGGGACAAGATCGCCGAGCTCGCCAAGCAGGCCACGCAGGAGGAGGAGGCCGCGCCGCACCCGCCGCCCACGTCTGCCCGGCAGCGCCTGCAGTCAGCCCAGGGGCGCCACGCGCACCAGCAGGAGATCCTCGACCAGGCCCACAGCGCCCTGCACGAGGCGGAGGCTGTCAGGGCCGCGGCAGAGCAGTACTATGAGGAGGTGCTGGAGCAGGCGCTGGCGGTCCCCAAGGAGCTGGAGGAGGCCAAGTAGCGCTACTACGATGACAAGGACGGGGGGGGGGACAGTCAAGGGGGGACTGTGCTCGACTTCGAGCGCGCGGAGGTCCTGCAGGGAGACCTCGAAGAGTACGAGGACGGCCCCATCAAAGACGAGATCCAAGGGTTCAGGGACCAGGTCCGCGAGGCGCAGAGGCAGGGCCGAGAAGCCCTGGCAGCGCGCCAGCTCGAGCGGGAGGCCATGGAGAAGGCGGCCGCTGAGGCGGCCCAGCGGCACCGCGAGACCGACGCCAAGCTCCACGCCCAGGCGGAGGCCCACCAGAAGATGTCGCTGGAGCACGCGGAGCAGGTGCGCACGCGCATCCCCGCGCCCCAGAAGAAGCGCAAGGTCGACAGGGAGGGCGCGGCAGCGGCAGGGGCGGAGGCTAACAACGCAGACGCCACAGCAGCGGCGGCCTGGGCACTGAAGGGCCCGCCTGCCCCTGCGGCCAACGCCTCCCCAGAGGAGATTCAGAAGCACAAGGAGGAGCTCGCGGCATTCCGCGAGCGGGCGAAGCAGGAGCACGCCTAGAAGCATGGCACTGCCGCTGCGGGCGGCGCTGCGGATGCTGCTCCTGCTGGCGCCACGGGCGTCGGCAGGGGCTCCGCCCAGACCAGCGTGCCTCGCGGGCAACGCGCCCAGCGCAGCGCGCATCTTCTTCGCGAGCGCGGAGGAGCGGGGGCCCCAGGCCCACAGGTACATTAACGAGTTCCACTCGTCCGCGGAGGGGGCCTCTTACGGGGCGGGCGAGAAGCCGCATGTTCTTGTGCTCATGTTGCACGTCGGAAAGCTGACTAAATCCCTCCAGCAGTTGTGACGATGACTTCGATTTCGAAGGCAAGGCGGCTCCCTGTTCTGCATCGCGGCGGCAGGGAGGAGGTGCAGTCCAAGTCTCTTGGGTATTATGACACCGTTGAGAATGATGCAAATATCTAAGATAAGCAGCCTGCGATCACGGAGACGCCCACGACGTCTTAAAGAGCAGGGCGGCGACAACTCAGAATTCGACATGCACATCGCCGATCACGACAGCCTATAGATCAGCGCGTGAGGCCTGCCACCACGAAAGCTGGTGGATTGGGCTGGTCTCGGCATGGCAACAGCGACAAGTTCCAGACCTTTTTGTTGCAGCAGCGTCAGCACAAGGTAGACGCTTGCTTCCCCTCGGAGCTCCACACTGGAACGTATGAGAAGAACGGAGACATCTCCACGATGGTCAGAATGGAAGATTCCACCTTGGTCATGATTGCAGATTGTGGTTTCTGTGCCAGGACGGCGGCGACGATGGCGTGGCAAAGGTATTGCAGGATGACGGCGCACTCACGGTCGTGTGGAGTGAAAGGTGTGTGGCTATACCTATGTTGTTGGAGGGTGTCCTTTCTGTTTGGATGGTCAGAATGTAAATCACACCAGGGGCACTGCAGGTTTTAGAAGTCAGATCTATGATGGGATATTGGATGTCAAACATAGATGTCAGGAAAAACATCAGGGCCAAGACTCATAGGTGGCGACTGGACCGGACACGCGGGGAGGGACACGGCGGCAGATGACATACAGCCGGGAGAACAACTGATGAAGAGGAGCACGGCGGATGGGGGAAAGGCTTTTTTGAAATGGTTGACGAGCACGAATGTGATGTGTACCAGCCGTATTCACTATTACCTCGAGATGGACATGGAAGCATAGAAATGGGCAGTGGTATGACTTGGACAGGTAGGTTATGGACAGTGAGGTACACCAGCAAGTATTAGGTATTTCGGTTCATGCATTGGGTATATCGGATCATCTTTCCAAACAGTTCGGACTAGCATTGCCGAAAGCAGGGGGCAAATCAAACAGAGCAGCCAGACGACAATTTCGCATTCACAGGCAGAGAAATGCTAGAGAACAGGCAGTTGCGCCTCCCCTTTCGATCTACAAATTTCGAGGCCCATCGGCGCAAGCGGAAGAATTACGAGAACGATATCGAGCTAAAGTGACGACATTCTTGCGCGAAGAACACAACTTGACCCCGATCGACCGACGACGACCTTTGAGAGTTGAGCCGAAGGTAGGTACCAAGCATTGTCACATCTTTACGGAGGGCTCGGGCACACAAGAAGGGGCAGGATGGGGGATTCGAATTACCACGGCAGAGACGAAAGAGTGGATGGATCATGTTGGACCAGTGGTTACTTTGAGGGATGAGGCGTTACGGTCGATATTCCTGGGAGCAGAGTGCCTCACGCATAACACGGGAGAGTTGTCGGCGATGGTTATGGCGCGCGGGTGGGTGCTGGATACTACGACATCAGAGGACGTGACTACACTGCATTATGACTCGCAGTACGCAGCGAATATGTCAGCTGGAAATTGGAGGGCAAAAACAACCAGAAGTTGATTGCGACGGGCCGAACTTGTTTCAGGAAAGTGAAACCCAAAAGGATTGATGCATGGTCTGTGTCAAAGGTCACCCGGGAGATGCGGGCCATGCTCGTGCCGACGAGAACGCAGATGCTGGAGCCAGACGCGAACTGAAGTTGTGGGAAGCTCTAGTTGACGATGGCGGTCAGACTCATCCAGGCGTTAGGGCGCAAGTGAGAGCGCAAGTCCCAGCCACTGCGCGCGGACAGTCGATCCCAGGGACGAACAGGGGCCGCGCGCAGGCGGCCGGGCTCACGTCGCCACCTGTCGGATCGCGGCCTCCGCGACGCTCGCAGTCGCCACGCACAGCTGGACGGGATGCGCCTGACTGACAGGCCCCATTCTCGCCCGCCTCCTGGTCTGCCCCCGCCGGCGCTGGACTCAGAGTATGCCGACCCGTTCGAGGACCTGCAGCACGAGGAGGACCTACGGTACGAGGAGCCAGACGAGCCAGACGTTCAGTCCGCCACGGAAGTATTACTACGACCAGTTCGCGACCCTCTTTTGGTTGAGAACCTATGCGAAGACGATCTACCTACAGAAGAAACAATATTACAAACAAGCATGACATGGACGCGGGCCTCAGGCATTGCGGCACAAGCTGCAGAGAATATCTCGGGACGTGGGAAAGCGGCGAATCAGCTTGGCACCCCATTTTTGGAAGCGGACATGCCGAAGATCATAGCCCTGAGACAGGAACGTGCTCGCATATGGGAGCAGTGGCAGAGAGCTGGGGATTTATTGGGCGAGCAGAGCTTTCGAAATGCACATAAGCAGTTTGGGGGGACAAAAAAAGTTTGAAATATCGAGCGCCACGGATGGGCTAAACCGATTAGTGCATACATGTCATTAGCAGCTACAAATGACTGGGGTGATGCTTATCATGATTTGAGGAAGTTGGGGTTCCAATTTCATGGTCGATCGCACGACGTCAAGAGCAGGTGTCAGCGGGTAGTATGATAGCACAGTTGAAGAAGACCAGCGGATTGCCTGGGCAAGTGGAGGGCGAATTATTAGAGAGGGCTTCCAGCAGCTCCTGTGAATAAAGAGTTGGAGCTCCTTCCGAGCAGGAATGAGGTGCGCTACTGTATCTTGGAGATGAAGGATTCCGCGCCTGGGAGCGATGAGGTGACGATATCCATGATACGTGCTGCGGGCGAGGCGATGTTTCATGAAGCCATTGATTTGGTTCAGGGTCTTTGGAGAACTGAGTATCGGAGCTGGGAGAAGAGCACGAAGGCCGCTGTAGGAGTTTTGCTATGGAAAGGAAAGGGGTCGAGGTCGGACGACATCGACCGGTACAGGTCATGCTTCTGTTGTTCGACTGTTGTTGGAGGCAGCTCAAGACGCGAATTATTCCTAGATGCCAGACTTCGACCTTTGGTTGCAACGCGCGCGGACAACACGAAAGCACATGCGCGGGTTGCGAGAAAAGCTGTCTACCAGAAATCAGGAGAGGCTGGGCATACCGCAGTCGCTGAACAACGTAGTGAGAGGATTGCATGAGGACACGAGTTACCAGCTAAAGATGAGGGAGCGCCTATCGGAGCCAGATTTGTTGAGACAGGGGTTTCAAAGAAGGGTGCCCGCGGGCGCCAGCGGCGTTCAACATTTCCATTCTTCAGCCGTGCACGACTTCAAAAACCAAGCTCCGGACAAAGGATAAGAGGGCATCGGATGCGTTGACCTGTCCCAGACGGAGTTCGACATAGGCCAGGGTACGTCGTCCTGGAGCGGTCCGTGATAGAGCATTGGAAGAGAAGCCATTGGTCAAGCTGTTTGAAATTGCGTTGGCTGGTGATATTAATTCGTTGTCACGGAGGTCCCAACGCGAGGGGGTTGAGAAGTCGTTGGAGAAAGTACTGGGGGAATGGTCGGATTCAGTTCATCCCGACAAGTACGAGCGGCTCGGTGCTGGGCCAACTGCATCGCAGGAGTACGCTGCTGCCGCTCGATTGCAAGGAGCTCGGCTACGGAGCGACGACGATAAGAAATCTACGGACACAGAGAAGAGATTGCAGAAGGCGGGCATGGTGCGGTGACGGTTATATTCACAAGTATCTCGCCTGAGGCTTGATCGAAAGCATGTGGGTATGTTTTTCGGGTGACGGCGATGGCGTGCTTATTGTTTGGATGTGAGGATCGGACTTTTACGAAGTACGAGCTCAAGAAATACCAAGCGTTCGTAAATAAATGTATGCTGTGCTTGCTACATCCACGAAGGATCACGATGTCGGACGACAAGAAAACAGGGCAAGACTTGAGAAAGGCGCTTAATCTAGACACGATAAAAATATACATAGACTGGCGCAGCCTCCAATTTCTGCGCGCTCAGATGATATTACCAGGGGAGCAGATTGATCGCAGCAATATGGATATATCTTGACGAAGAATTTGCCACGACCAGAAATATTGGAGGTAAACGACTTCGGAGCCGATCACTAACATGGAAAAGGTAGAACCAGAGTATGACACATTCGGACATTCCGCGCGAAAGGCGGCATGAAGAATGGGCAAACATCGCTCGGAACAGGACGCTCTGGAGCAAGCTGATGCGAAAACGGCGACGTGATGCGAGACTGAAAGCTCGCCGAGATGAATGGCTTCACACACAGGCTGCCTAGGGGCCAAGAGCTAAACTTGAGAGCAGAGCACTTAGATATAATATAGAGCAGGGACGCATGAAAGTATTGGCGGAAGGGGATTTCACTATGCAAATATTGTGGTACGCTTCCGGTTTGGAAAGGCTTCAGGGAGCAGAATACACATTGCGAGAAGCAGGACCCCCAACGCGGTCGCACGAAGTGGAGACGCACAGCCAATCGCAAACAGCAGCCTGATCTCCGAGAGAAACATCCTGTACCTGAACCCGTGCTTGTAGGAGATGGGTTCTATTGTCCTCCTGTCAGTGAGCCCGCTGTTGATGCACCACGCCGCCATCGGCGCTGCGAGCAGCAGCACAATGACTACGACCAGCAGCACCACCACGACGACGACAAGCAGCAACATCAGCAGCAACACCACCACCACCACGACAACCATCACCAGCGGCAGCGTCGCCACCGCGACCAGCGGCAGCGCCACCACCACAACGACCAGCAGCAGCAGCACCACCACCACCACCACCA